TTCTTGTTGCTAAGGCTGGATTGCGAGTGTGGGATCTCGGCTCACTGCAACCTCTGCCTCCTGGGTTCAAGTGATACTCCTGCCTCAGCCTCCGGAGTAGCTGGGATTACATGTATGTGCCACCATGCCCAGCTAATTTTGCATTTTTGGTAGAGATGGGTTTTCTCACATGGTTACTATACTTTGGGCTGTTCTTGTATTTGAAATATTAAGTGTAGGAAAAACTTAAGAGCTAGAATGATGATACTTTCTTCCAGAGATAATTTTCCTTTGTTTCTATCAGCTACCTGGGGGGACAAAAAATTCTGGACTACCTTTGTCTACGCTCAGCTAATTTTTGTATTTTTTAGTAGAAACGGGGTTTCACTATGTTGGCCAAGCTGGTCATGAACTCCTGACCTCTAGTGATCCACCTGCCTCGACCACCCAAAGTGCTGAGATTACAGTCATAAGCCACCATGCCTGGCCTGTTTTGCCTTTTGACGCTGCTAATTGCTTCAGGATCAGCAAATGGCCTCAGCTTTGAGGGCTGGCCTATTGGGTTCTCACTTCCCCCTCGATTTTGGTATGGTAATTCCTCATTGTACTGCTCTCCAACGCTATTAAGAAGATTACATTTTTTTGGTAGATATTTTAGTAGTTCCAGGAGTGAGCGTTGTTGAAATTGCCCAGCCCACCATGATCAGAAAGGGAAGTCTTCTTTATCCGACTATTGCTATTCATTCTTCTAGGCTCAGCTGAGAAATTAACTTTCAGGAAGCTGCCCCTGGCCTGTTCTCCTCTGCCTTCATCCTCCATTCAGGAGTAGATGTCCTATGTCTCTGACCCTGTAACACAGTTTTCTTGCTATAGAATACCAGTACCATCCAGTAAATGGTCTCCTCACTAGTGTGCACTCCAGTGGACACATCTGACGCATCTCCCCTGTTTACCCAGAGCCTCAAACAATTCCATGTACACAATGCATGTTCCATACCTCTTGTTGAAAAGACTTAATTGGATTCTGCATTTCAACAGGCTAAAGACCACTTGGGTCATGGCAGCCTAGGACCACATTTAGAAACCACCGGCCTGGTGGTGGAAGATCCCAGAGGAGGCTCTGCACTGGCCACTGTGGCCCTCGTTCACACAGCTACAGAACGAAACTTTCCACTCTGAATCTTCCACACGCTGGAGAACCAGAACTGCTGCAGCTCTCTCCCTGTGTACCCCATGGCCAACTTTTTTTTTTTTTTTTTTTTT